CACTGTAGTACTGTCATGTGTCACACTGTAGTACTGTCATGTGTCACACTACAGTACTGTCATGTGTCACACTGTAGTACTGTCATGTGTCACACTGTAGTACTGTCATGTGTCACACTACAGTACTGTCATGTGTCACACTACAGTACTGTCATGTGTCACACTGTAGTACTGTCATGTGTCACACTACAGTACTGTCATGTGTCACACTACAGTACTGTCATGTGTCACACTACAGTACTGTCATGTGTCACACTACAGTACTGTCATGTGTCACTTCAGTACTGTCATGTGTCACACTACAGTACTGTCATGTGTCACACTGTAGTACTGTCATGTGTCACACTGTAGTACTGTCATGTGTCACACTGTAGTACTGTCATGTGTCACACTACAGTACTGTCATGTGTCACACTGTAGTACTGTCATGTGTCACACTGTAGTACTGTCATGTGTCACACTACAGTACTGTCATGTGTCACACTACAGTACTGTCATGTGTCACACTGTAGTACTGTCATGTGTCACACTACAGTACTGTCATGTGTCACACTACAGTACTGTCATGTGTCACACTACAGTACTGTCATGTGTCACACTACAGTACTGTCATGTGTCACACTACAGTACTGTCATGTGTCACACTACAGTACTGTCATGTGTCACACTACAGTACTGTCATGTGTCACACTACAGTACTGTCATGTGTCACACTACAGTACTGTCATGTGTCACACTACAGTACTGTCATGTGTCACACTGTAGTACTGTCATGTGTCACACTACAGTACTGTCATGTGTCACACTACAGTACTGTCATGTGTCACACTGTAGTACTGTCATGTGTCACACTACAGTACTGTCATGTGTCACACTATAGTTTTATATTGGGACCTGCAGTTCAGTGGTCTTCGTCTTGGACTTACAATCGAAGATCTCGGGTTCGATCCCCGGGTGGAATAGAAGTGGGTGAGCACGTTTCCTTTAACCTGATGCAACTGTTCATGTAGTAATTAAAAATGTACACCTGGGAGTCAATCACCTGTTGTGGGTTGCGGGTCCTGTGGAGGGTCAGTAATTAACCTGAGAACACCTTTCACCTGATGCGTCTGTTCACCTAGTAGTAAACAGGTGTCTGGGTGTTCAGGAAACTTGTTACATTTATTATCTATTAAATACTGTTGTCAACCAACTATCAACAATTATACATATACATACCCTGTATACACTTCCCAGTATACATCCTAGTATACATTCCCTAGTATACTTACAGCGTATACATTCCCTAGTATACTTACAGCGTATACATTCCCTAGTATACTTACAGCGTATACATTCCCTAGTATACTTACAGCGTATACATTCCCTAGTATACTTACAGCGCATACATTCCCTAGTATACTTACAGCGCATACATTCCCTAATATACTTACAGCGTATACATTCCTAGTATACTTACAGCGTATACATTCCCTAGTATACTTACAGCGTATACATTCCCTAGTATACTTACAGCGTATACATTCCCTAGTATACTTACAGCGTATACATTCCCTAGTATACTTACAGCGTATACATTCCCTAGTATACTTACAGCGTATACATTCCCTAGTATACTTACAGCGTATACATTCCCTAGTATACTTACAGCGTATACATTCCCTAGTATACACTAT